TGGGCTTCTGAAACCTGAAAATCCAAGTTGTGCTGCATTAACGGAGGGTAGTTATTTCTCTACGGCTTCCAAACATCTCCCTTTCACTCCGCACCAGGTGCTGTGACGGGTTGGATGCCGAGCCGGTGGTGGTCAACCTGGGCAGCCCGGGCAGTGGTGGTGGTGGTGGTGGTGGTGGTTGTGTGACCCATTCTTTGGCGACCCAGAGCTGTGGAACCGAATTCGGGAACTACCCACATCCTGAAGCGCCCATCCTTATGTGTGCCCTCAACCCCTTGAGCCCTACAGCCCTAAAGCTCGAAACCGCGGCCCAGCCGGATGCCGAGCCGGCGGCGGCCGCGGCCGCGGTGCACCAAGCGCAGCAGCCCGGGCACCTGAGCTGAAACGTTTTTCTAGGGGAAGAAGGGCTTACGGCTTAGAGCTCTTAGGTCTTAGGTCTTAGGTGTCAGGATAAAGGGATTGATTGACGGTGTAGTGTTTGGGTTTGTGAATTCTGGCGTAGTCTTTTGGCACTCAATTGGTTTGGGTTCACGATTGAGTGTAAGGCCTCTATGTTAAGGCGTTACGGATGTCAAGCATGATTTCGCTTGCAGCCAAAGGGCCTCCACGAAGAGTCCAAAACATAGCTTTGTTTCACAGTTTTTCCTGCAAGGTCCCCAGCCTGAGTTTGCGGCCTGTTCAACCGGTATAGCACTGTATAGATCAGCCCCGAACGTCCAATCCTACACCGTTCATGAACGCCTAAACCCTAAACCCGAATCCGAACCCTCCACGCCATTCGACTCTGATCCCAGGATCATTGGTGATCCACCAGGCGGCGAAGGCATCAGGATCCAGTTGTCTGTAGGGTTTCGGGTGTAAGGTTTAGGGTTGAGGGTATAGTAAACGGATTGCTCGTTCAGTTGCTGCAGCTACTGTAAATGGAAGTAAAGAACTCCCCCTGAACCTTCCAGCTGCCCAAGCCTGTTCGCAGCTGGATTTCTGAACCTCAAAGAAGACAACAGCTGGAGTCTCACAGTCAAATAATTCGATAAAGTGTTCCCTATCGGAGGCTATCTTCAAGACCGGATCCCTGTTTAAAGTTTGACCGCATCAAAGCCATTTTCAAGACGATCCTGACATCCGACACAAGCTTTCCCAAGTTCTGAGCCCAACCCAAGCCCTTTGTTTCATTCGACAGCGGCAAGCCGAGATGCTATGGCCCGAGGGCATAAACCCTACATAAAATCTTAGGCCTAGGCTGGCATGACAGCAGAGCCCCCAACAGAGCGGGCATGATCCTAACTTACTTACTTTCGACTCTCGAAGACAATCCGCTTGGAGCGAGGAGTATGAGTAGCCAGGCAAGCCGCCCCAGAGCTTCCGGGTGCCCAGCCCATGTTCCCAGCGCAAAGTACCGGACCTGCAACCCAGAGGTCGTGTTTTTTTGTGGAGCTATGATGTGCTGCACTAACGGAGGGTAGCCTAGAAAAATCTCGCGTGCAGTCGGAAAAAAGCTGAGGAAGGCCAGCGGGCAGGCAACAGAGTCCGAGAGGCCTAGTAGAACGTGGTCATTATCTGATTATCTGAGCTTGCTTTCTTGTTGAGCACATCAGCATAGAGGCCATTAGGTTCGTTTAGCTACTCGTATTAGGTGCTGGGCTGGTTTGTGACAGTTCGCTTCCTGTTTTTGCCAAATTATGGATGAAGTTATGAGCGCCCAACCCTCTAATGAAACCGAACAGCACCTATAGTCCCAAACTGAGGCCACAGCCCTGCTGCTGCTGCTGCTGCTGCTGCTGCTGCTGCTGCTGCTGCTGAGCTCTAGTGGTCTCCTCGCAGGTCGTGCCTTCTTCGGGATCTGGGACCGCGACGAACATGGGCGACATCGTGGGAAAATGCCGCACGTTGTTGTAGTTTCAGCTTTGTAAGGGTTTTCGTCAAAATCGAGACATGCATGCAATGGTTTTCGTGCTTCGCCGGCCACTTCAGCTGGTTCTCATATTGAAAAGAACCGTAATATGCCTGGGGTAGCTTGACCTGCACCAGCTTGAAGCCTGCTCGCCCTTACAACCAGCACCTCACTTCGGGGCTTGGCAGAAGGATTTTGGGTGCTCTTCCAGTGCCTGTTCGGACCAACCTCCAGCTCCACAAGCCAATCGGAGCACTGCCACGGCTTCTCCGCATGAGTTACTTGCAGCCCCTTGCCGCAACGATGAGTTGTTTCTGAAGGGGCTTCTTCTACCCACTCATGTTGCCCAACTGTGGTTTGGGCAACGTCGGATCTGCGATTCCCAGGAGGAGGACTACCGTGGTGACTACGATGCGTAGGAAACTAAGCATGACAGCCATGGTGACGGTGATGGGCATTGGGAGAGTGATGAACATGATCCTGTGCAGGCTTGTGGCATTCAGCAGCAGCATGACCATCGACATCTTCATCATCTTTGGCATCATCATCATCATCCTCATCAAATTCATTCTCCCCGCCATCCTCCTCCGCATCATCCTTATCATCCTTCTCTGCACCCTCCTCCTCTTGGTTCAGGGCTGGTATATTACCGGGCAAACTCTTTCGAGCGTATGCAGCACAGCACAGAATGCCACATGGTGCCCTCAACAGCCGGCCACAAGGCTCCTGATCTAGTTGTTGTCGTTACATGTCGTGACTGTGGTTTGGCCGCTGATAGGACCAGAGTCGCAGCTCCATGTTTTCGGTTCTATGGCGTGACATAAACACACTCAGCTACCATGTTTCTCAATCAGCAGAGTCACTTCAACCAGCCTGTTTGCAAGCACGAGACGGATGTGGTCGTGTCAATCTGCGCAACCGGATTGTCCATCAAAGCGAATCAAGGCAAACCAAGATTGTCGCCAGAGGGGCTCCATGGGCCCTTCTGCGCCATGCGGCGCGTTTGCAGAGCCTCGGCCGCTGCGACGATGCTTCAGGAGGCTGGCTGAGGTCGTCGTTGAGAATTTGGAGCTGACGGGTTCGACTGAACGCCCAGCATCCCGCGTGCCCACATCTCGCCTCGGTTCAGCAATTGCCGAACTCACTGAGAGTGTGCGGTGAAACTGCCCGCTGCGGAGCATGTTGCCAGGGCAGTTGCACGGTTGCACGTTTCTGGGGTTGTTGATTCGGGCCTCTTGGGCTCGGCAGGTTTCCACGCTGTGAGGTGTCCAAAGAGTTTGATGTGCCCCGTCTTTGCAGAGGCGTGTTTAACGAGCTTAGACCATGCTAGAGCTTCAAGGCCTCAGACAACGGTCTGCGGTCAAAAGGAGAAGCCGTCAACGCCAGTGCCCTGAATTCTGAACCCTCAACGTCAACCTGCATCGGCCCCGTGCAGTCATGGATGGCATTGCAATACCCCGATGCAGTCGGCAGAACCCGTTTGCAATCCAGAAATACATGCCCGAAACATCCCGAAACTATATCATCTCTTCGCAGGGTGGCAGAAAGCGTGCAGGAATCGGCGCTTTAGAAGGCAGGGCCCTTGGAAATTGATTTTGGTTTCCACCCTTATTGGCACTTGGGTCTTGTGAGGCCTTGTGAGTTTTGGATTGTACGGAAGGGGAGTGCGGGCGGAGCGGAGCGGAGGGGGTGGGTCGAGTGGATTTGCTTTTGGGATGCAGCAGCTTGTAACAGGGCCGTTAGTTTTGGAGCAAACCTTGCTGGGACTTTGTGAAAACTTGAAGATGATGATGGGATCATTCAGGGCCTAAGGATGGAACTGCATTTGCGCTTCAGGATGTGGGGATATGGTGGTCATCCATCCATCCAGCAAAGAAGCAGTTTGATGTCCTGAAGCTTGCATGCACGCATGCCTAGGAGAAATCCCCTCAGTCTTGTCCAAGCAGTATCTGGGACCTACTGTTGGTTTTGGATCCCATTAGTGCGGGAGATCTCATCTGCATCGTGCGAGTGCGGGTAGGAGACCTGATGCCCGCAAGTCGCGTAACGTGCGTGCAACAGCCGGCCCGCCAGTCATGTGGGCAGCACAAGCAAAGATGGTAATCAACAATGATGCTGGGAGACACTGTTGCTGGTGGTTCTGTGGAGACTCGCTCAAGCCTTCGGCTACCGGCTACCGGTACTGCTGGCTGTGAGGCTCCTACTTGTATAGGAAGTTGACCATGCGACTTCAGAAGGAAGAGACTGCTTACTCTAAACCCTGGATGGAACTCTGAAGCCGGGCAAGCGAACCTTGCAATCCCTCCTTGTACTCCCAAGTACAATTGAATGATAAAGAATACTATTGAGGCTCCGATCGTTGCTACTGTTGTCCCTGTCTTCTCATGCTTTGAAAAGATCTTCCTGGTCCAGGCTTGCCACCAAGGCCAGTGGGGTGTGGGCCTTGGGCTTCGGGGTTGGGGTTTGCAGGTCCAGTGTTGATTTGGACGCCATGCCTTCAGGCCCATTGTTTCAGGCTCCTTTTCGCTGCTGGTTCACGGGACGGACTATGCATGCAGTGCAAAAAGTACTGATATTGGCTGACATTCGAAGTCCTCGGCTCACACACGTCAAGCAGCGCAATCCAAACCTCCAGCTTGAAGCCCGATGGCTTGCGACCTAGTCGTGCCCTGTTCTGTCTCGACAGATATCCTGATCGAAGTGATTCGATGCTCGTAGAGCCTGCGCTCTGACTCCAAGTCTAAGGGTGCCCATAAAGACGGAGACCGCAGCAGGTATATCACTGAGAGCAGCATCGGTAGTAGTGGTAACGGGGCATGCCCAACTGATTGAGCGCAAGGCTCCGGACATGTTATTGCTTTTTTGCTGTATCACTCAGCTCCCAGGGTGTGCTTGGTTCTCCAGCTCCTTAATTCTGAAGCCGCTACTTGTGCTGTTTTGCCTTTGTCGTGATGTTGCTTCTGCCAAGGTGTCCTTGCCACCGACCTGCTCGCCAGGGCCCCGCGTGCCAATGTCTCTTGCAGGAGCTGTGTTCCAAGCAGCTTCCCACTCGCCGAGGAGGCCTCGGCATGCAGGAGTTTCTGCAAGCCCATGTCGCTCTGATTGCTGCGGCCTGCACCACGCGGCGCCGGATAGCGGCAGCAGGCCATGGCTCATTGGGCCGTTCATGTCCAGAGTCTATCCGTCTCATTGGGTTGTCGGGGCAGTTTCAGGCTCTGCTCGAGCATCGTTTGCTGTGCCGCTACTGGACCTTGCTCAATCCCAGCGGTCTGAGGCGAGGCATGCATCACGTGATTATATAGAATCTGCTACAGATGATGGCCTTCTCCTGCTTGAACCTGGCAGGCCTCCACAGGCACACCGTTCTTGGATGCGTTCAGAGGTATCGGTGCATTCCAGGCACTCCGCAACTGGTGCTACCCATGTTCGTTGAGCTTGGGGACATTCGATCCTGCCTAGTCAGCAACAGAGGAGCCGAAGTTGAGCGAGGCAGTGCAGGAGTCAGGCGACTTGCGATGCAATTCTGACAGGTTCGGGTGCCCGCACCGCTGGCACGAGACACTCAGCACGTCTTCGAGCACTTTGAGACTTTCATGGCGCTGCCGGAAGCAGACGCCGGACTTGCAACAGACTGGTCTGGGGAAGTCGATGTGTTTGTGCGTTGCTGCGGCTGGATCTGTTAGAATCCAATCAAAGCTCCTCAGGCTTCTGCTTGTTTTGGGCTTGTGTAGTACTGTAATGTCTGACAGCTTCAGGCTCGGCACCGTTTCCTGTGCGACCCTGGGGAGGTGCTGGTTGCAGCTCGGCTGTTGCATCTGTTGCTGTTGCTTGTGCAGCTTGTCGACGAGATTTGGCAGCAGTCGCCCAGGTGCACGGCTATCAACCACGAGGCGGAGAGGCCGAACGCTCTTTGCCAAGCACTTACCATGTCGGACCCCAGAAGACCTGACAAAGGGTTCACAGCAGCACGACTCGTCGTCTTAAGCGCATCTTTGCAGGTTGCAGGGCTACTCACTGCTCTCCAAAGCCAGTTTACATCAATGACTTGCAGCGCAAAGCTGAGATGTCTTGAAGGTTTCAATCGATTCCGCTCCGGCATCGTGTTCCACGGCAAGAGCACGCTGCCTTTGCTGCCGGAGCCTTTTGAGGCAACCTGCTAGGCAGTCCCCCGGGATAAGCAGATTGCATCCTGTTTCTGCAGGTGCTCGAAAATACACTTATAGCGCAACTAGCAGCTCGAAAAGAGGGCATGGTCTGTTGCAGCGTTCTGTGGCAGGTGGACATCCAACGCTGGCGAGACCGGATGTGGCGCCTCTCGGAGAGGATGCGCTACTTAGTAACCCTGACGTATGGCTAGAAGTATTACGGGAGGAGGATACCGGCAGCCCAAGCACGCACATTTTTTCCCGGAACTTCGGAAAGAGAAGCCTCTCAACATCACTGTCCTTGTCTTGGAAACCCTGGTCCCTTCGGGAACCCACCCCCGGTCTCTTAAAGGCTACCCTCCGTTTGAATGCGGGCTGAGGGGTGTGCGCCTCCGAGCTGCAAGTCCACGATTCTGAAATCCCCACGGCTCCATCCCTGGTAGGATTCTGGAGCAGCTCCGGGACGAGCTGTGCCGGAGCGGCAAGATGGAGGTGCCAGAATGTAGGCATATGGAGCAGCCTTGAGGGATGTCTTGCTTCTGATCCAGTCCTTGCCTCGACCAGGTGAACCTGGGCATGGGTTCCTTCAGCGAGGGCGCTGCCGTCGACATGCCACTCGCCCCTAATAGAGCGAGATTTTCCCACGAATCGCTAGCAGAGAGCGGACCGTGCTGAAGCCGAGAGGATCTCAGGGTCGCACTTCCAGCTGAAGCAGATGCACTCCGGCTCCGACGAAGGTTTGCGCCCGAGCTTTCCGATGTCCGCTCCACCGTCGTTGTCGACACGTTGACCGTTGACATGTGTGATGTCAACGTGGGGGAAGCCGCGTGAGCATCAGGCTCTGGGTCTGGAGAGACAGTCCCTTGACTTGGAGATTGAGAGATTGCCAAGTTGTCGGATGAATTATCAAGTGCCTTGGTTTCGATATTACGGCATGTGGCCAGGTCCGACTGCCGCTGCACCAGCACTCTGGACAGATCAGCAGCTGCGGGATGTCGAGGTACCTTGTCTTTCCGGTTCGGAAGACGAAGATTCCGAAGAGCGCTCTCAAACTCGACAACCTCAAGTTTGGTCGCTAGCCCTTTGCGCAGACCTGAGACCTGTTCAGCCCGCAACCCTGAACCTCAAAACCTTCAGCATACGTTTCTGGAGTGTGGGCCTTGACGAAGGATTCTTGGTGCAGACTTTCGGGGGAGTTGTGAGCAAACTTGCAACCCGCAATGTGTCCAGCCCGAGCTCCGAACGCAGAAAAAGCCGAGATCCCAACAAAACTCTGAGTTCTTACACCCGAAGCCCTGAAGTGACCAAGCTCCCTAAACCATTCAAAATTGCTGCAGACATGAGGGTAGCAAAAGGCATTTTTGTTATAGATCAACGCCGGGGATGCCGAGGCTGCTTCGGCGGTTTCGGGGTTTCGCATTTCCGATGGCTCCGCCGCAAACTCTGGACGGTCTTGAAACCTCAGGCCATGGGCAACGGGTGCGCCCGCCGGGCGCAGGCGCGAGTTTTCTCCGGCTTGGCTTAGACGAAACGAGGCGCCTTCGTCGTTGGGGTGTCGGCTACTTATGTAGGTTCTGCGAGATAATTTGCAAGTAGAGGAATGCAACAACCCTGTAATAAAAACCCATACTCATTAACCCTTAACCCTAACTACCATACTGTAGTCACTATAGTCTATAGTCATTGAGCCGAAGCTGAAGGCGCCCAGCCACCATTGCTTTGAGAGCTCGCTGCTATCCATCTTAAGCCCCGTAAAACGCACATCACAAAAAAGTGCCTGCAAGCTAATCAATCTAAACAAGAAGCAAGAAACTAAAGATTCAAAATCCTTCTAAGCCCAGACGCTTTGCATTTGGGGCTCAGGATTGCGGAGTATGTTAAGGCCATGCTATCCCCGGGGTCCTAATCCCTAAATCCAATCAGGCGCATGCCCGACTGGTGTTAAGGAATTTCGTGCTGCAGGGTGCTAGTGCTTTAGGGGTTTTAGGCTTCTGGGCTTAGTCGCTCAGGGGCTAAAGGGTCAGATGTAGGTCTAGCAGCGCAAGCTTTACATCTGTGGCAGGTGTTGCTCCTTAGATAGAGGGTCCCTAATTCGACTAGTGCCCTGGGGTATGTTGTTTTGGGAAGAGCATAGGGATCTCAGAGCCCCACAACCCCTACACTTATACGCCCTGCCCATTCAAAAAACCTGTTTGATTATGAGCCTATCACACAGAAAGCTGGAGCATTGCGGTTACAGGGCTGGAAACACCTGCTGAAAGAGCTCGGCCATGAATTCTAAACCCTACGGTATGTTTAGGTTTCAGGGAATCGGGGTAGGAGAA